CAAGTGCCCCTCTGCATCAGCACTCCTGTATCCCTTGGGTAAATTCCTAGCACTGCTATTGCCGGGTCATAGGGTGGATCTATTTTTAATTTTTTTGAGGAACCTCCCCACTGTTTTCCAGAGCGGCTGCACCAGTTTGCATTCCCACCAACAGTGCAAGAGGGTTCCCATTTCTCCACATCCTCTCCAGCATCTAGAGTCTCCCGATTTGTTCATCTTAGCCACTCTGACTGGCGTGAGGTGGTATCTCATTGTATGAATTCCCCCATTGTTATGTGAACATCTGAAGTAGAGAGGGCGCAGACCTACATCTCAGGACCAGTTTGGAACATGGAAGCCACTGGCTCAGCTAGAGATGCTAAGCGTATGTAAAATGAGCACTTGATTCAGAATCAGGAGATGTGAAGTTCTGGTCTCAACTCTGCTTTTAATTCTTTGGAGACCTTTTGGCAAGTCATTAAAATGGTGGATAAGAACCAAGGGTCTGGAGTCAGACATAGGATTTAAATGGGAATTCTGTCCCTTCCTGCTTATGAGGTCTTAGTCAACTTGCTGGTCCAACATGCTTCTGTTGGTTCATCTGTAGAGCTAGGATAATAGCTCCTACGTTGTGGAGTTGCTCTAAATTAAATCCGGTGTTTTGGTAGAGGACTAGCACAGTCTCTGGTGTATAATAGCTACTACTTGCTGAGAATAACCATTATATCTACTTATTAAAAATAGTTTCCTGGGGCGCCTGGGTGGCGCAGTCGGTTAAGCGTCCGACTTCAGCCAGGTCACTATCTCACGCTCCGTGAGTTCGAGCCCCGCGTCGGGCTCTGGGCTGATGGCTCAGAGCCTGGAGCCTGTTTCCGATTCTGTGTCTCCCTCTCTCTCTGCCCCTCCCCCGTTCATGCTCTGTCTCTCTCTGTCCCCAAAATAAATAAACATTGAAAAAAAAAAAAAAAGTTTCCTAATGTGGCTAAGTACATATTTGACATAGGTGATATGGGAATGACTTATGGTATTTAAGGAATAGTCAAAAGGGTGGTGTTAATCTTGCAAATTATAAAAAAAAAATGCAATAAATTATCACAAATGTAACAAAACTATTTGAGCATTTTAAAGCAGACGAGTCAAGTTTTCAGATGTAAATTTCTAAAAGATCACCTTGGTTATTATTGTATGGAAAATGGATTGCATACAACCAGAGTGGAAAAGGATAAGAAATTCGAAGGAAATGATTCTCACATACAGGGTATGGGTAGAAAAACATAGAAATGGATTATACTCTAGATGTGCATCTCATAGGATTTTGATTCATTGGATGAAGGTGGAGAAAGAAAAGAAGCAGTCAGTCAGACTAAAAAGTGAGTAGGCTTGGGGCGCCTGGGTGGCGCAGTCGGTTAGTTTATCCTATTCTCTCACAGCCAGGTCACTCATCTCTTGTCCGGGTGGAGCTGGGATTCCACGCCAGTTTCCTGGGCTGATGGCTCGGAGAGCCTAGAGCCTGGTTTCCCATTCTCTGCCTCTCCTCTCTCTCCGCCTGCCCTCCCGTTCATGCTCTGTCTCTCTCTGTCCCAAAAATAAATAAACGTTGAAAAAAAAAATTTTAAAAAGTGAGTAGGCTTTTGGAATGAATAAGCAGGTGGATAGCAGTCCCATTTACTGAAATAAAAAAACAGAGGAGGCAGATATATAGAACACCAAGAACACCAATAACAGCAGATTACATGGTCTTCTGAAGCACGCATAGAACTTTCTCTAAGACACGCCACATGTTAGCCCATAAGACACAACGTGAAAACGGAACAACAAACAAACTTACAGCATGTAGATAGAGCAGTGGTTAGAGTGTCGACATGTGTAGGGTTTAAGTATACAGCTTAGCCTCTGGATCTTCAGTTTTGTTACCAGATGATTGGAATTACAGTTACTACCACACGAAGTCCTGTGGAGATCTAGGAGATTGAAGCACGTGGCACCATCCTTAACCCTTAAGGTCTCAACAAGCGGTAGTTCTTGTGCACAATGGTAATTTAGAGGGGTTTCCCAATGTGGCTTAGAAGACCCCAGCTTTTGTCCATTTTGATCCTACTGCCAACATTAGTCAGTCGGTGTCTCTATTTCATATCGCTAAATTACTACTTAGTAATCTTTAAACCCAGTAAGATACGATTTTATCCCTCGAAAGAGAATATGTGGGACTCCCCCTGTTAAACCTAGATTTACATTAAAATTGGGATAATTTATGCCCTCTGGGATTCTGAAACTCTGTGACTCATCAGTTCTTCAGACTTTAGTTTTGAAAGGGATTTTCCTGCCCACAGTCTGAACAAAGCTGCTTCAACAGGAGGTTGGTCCTGATTCTTTTGAGGTGTTAGACTTCATGGTCAATGCTGACTGCTAGAAGATTAGCAATATATAAGTGGTAGTGTGGGTAACAGTGGGGGAAAGCATGCTGTCTATAAAAGCCTACATCTTTCCCTGTATGTTTTGGCATCACTGCTTTGATTCCTTTTGTTGGTCTCCTTTTTCCTCCACTGAAGTGTAAACTTCATGAATGCTGGGGATTTGCATGTACTTTGTCCATGGATGTATCACAAGTCACAGAGTGGTGCCTGGCATATCACCAGTACTCAAATATTTGGGGACTTGTATTGAACATGGTTTCATGTTATCTGGTTCTCCTCACCAAAGCCTCCAAAACAGATTATTAGGTGAAGCTTGTCCTGGTGGGGTCATGGAGTTATCCAAACTGAAGATGGAAACTCAAATAGTTGTAAGAAAGCTTTAAGTTCACAGAGCTCTTTGGACTCAGAATAAGAAAGAACATGATGGGAATGCAAGCTGGTGCAGCCACTCTGGAAAACAGTATGGAGGTTCCTCAAAAAACTGAAAATAGAACTACCCTATGACCCAGCAATTGCCCTACTAGGCATTTATCTACAGGATCCAGGTGTGCTGTTTCAAAGGGACACATGCACCCCCATGTTTATAGCAGCACTATCAACAATAGCCAAAGTATGGAAAGAGCCCAAATGTCCATCGATGGATGAATGGATAAAGAAGATGTGGTGTGTGTGTATACACACACACACACACACACACACACACACACACACACACAAAACACACAATGGAGTATTACTCGGCAATCAAAAAGAGTGAAATCTTGCCATTTGCAACTATGTGGATGGAACTGGAGGGTGTCATGCTAAGTGAAATTAGTCAGTCAGAGAAAGACAAAAATCATATGACTTCCTCATATGAGGACGTTAAGAGACAAAACAGATGAAGATAAGGGAAGGGAAACAAAAATAATATAAAAACAGGGAGGGGGACAAAACAGAAGAGACTCATAAATATGGAGAACAAACTAAGAGTTGCTGGAGGGGTTGTGGGAGGGGGGATGGGCTAAATGGGCAAGGGGCATTAAGGAATCTACTCCTGAAATCATTGTTTCTCTCTATGCTAACTAATTTGGATGTAAATTTAAAAGAATAAAACTTAAAAAATAGATTAAAAAACTAAAAAAATAAATATTTTGGAAAATTAAAAAAAAAAAAAAAGAAAGACCATGATTACCAGATCCTCAGAACCCATACAACCACCTGACAGAACGGAAAGAACACTGGACTATCAGGAGTAATGGTTCAAGTCCCAGATGTGCCACTAACTCATCACCATGTGGCTTGAGACGTATCCATTTTCCCACCATGCCCATACTGACCTGGTACTTCTTTCATGCTCAGTTCTTGGTCATTCTTCATTGTAGAATTTTCTGGCATTTCAGCCAGTGAATACCCTGCAACGGAGAGTAGATGAAATAATAGTCTCTAACAAAGTCAGCAATTTCCAAGACTAGGGATGAGATTTCCCATTACTAAATACTGAGGGGAACCAAGACAAGTCTCAGATCTCAGTTTATTCCATGACTAACTGGTATCAGAGACAATGGAGTCAGATCCTCAAGTGCCACCAGCACAGCAAAGCAACAGAGACTTGTTGCAAAGACAGCTCTGATTTTGAATTTGTAAATTCCAGTCCCGGTTTTGCTGTAAGGCCTTGGGTAATTAACATAACAAGGCAGTTTATGGTGGCTATCAAGAATTTATCTTCAAGAGTCATCCTGAACACCTCTCTTGAACTTCAAACTAGTTAGTTAACTACTCACTAGGGACCTGTGAATTATCCAAATAGAGATGTCCAGCTCATCATTTCTAACATTGTTTACTCCTTCTCCTGTCTACTTGCTGCAAAACAACTCTTCCAATGTTTCTTGGGATGAGGTAATGGAACCCCATGCATCCAGTCTCATGCCAGAAACACGGGTGTCATCCATGTTAGCATATTCTCTCTCTGCATTTAGTCCTACAAAACTGTTGTGTCTGCTTTTGAAACATCTTCAATTGAATTTCTACTTTCTCTAATGGCCACTGCCACCCTGGCCCAAGACACCTTTATTTCTCCCAAGGGATGCCAGAATGGCCTCTTAACTGGTCTCCCCACACCTATTCATTTATTCTGTCTGGACCACAAAACACTTCAGCAACAATGATGAAATGTCAATTGGATTATTTTTACTCCATCCCCTTTCAAACAAATGGCTTATTCTTTGCTATTAAAATTATTTTCTTTTTTTTTTTTTTTTTTTTTTTTTTTTTTTTTTTTTTTTAATTTTTTTTTTTTCAACGTTTATTTATTTTTGGGACAGAGAGAGACAGAGCATGAACGGGGGAGGGGCAGAGAGAGAGGGAGACAGAATCGGAAACAGGCTCCAGGCTCTGAGCCATCAGCCCAGAGCCCGACGCGGGGCTCGAACTCACGGACCGCGAGATCGTGACCTGGCTGAAGTCGGACACTTAACCGACTGCGCCACCCAGGCGCCCCTAAAATTATTTTCAAGATGCTGTGTTGTCCAACTTGTAGTCCACTTCCCCATATTTATCTCTTGTCTTGTTCCCTCAAGTTCTTCATGCTCTAGCCAAGCTCTTTGTTAAAGGCTTCATGATGCTCCTGTCTTCTGCTCATCATGTGCTATGTGCTTCTCTAATTATGCCCAGTTGGCTTGGCTAGCTTCTTTTCTTCATATTTGTTTCAGCCTGAACTTCACTTCTTCTAGGAAGTGATTCTGTCCTTCACTTTCCTCTGATCTGGAATAGGAACCTCTTCTTTTTCTGCACCATTAAAAAAATCACCCATTTATTCCTCTTCCTTGCTGCACTGGAAACTATGAATTCTCATGGGTCACATGCCAGAGATTTAAAGATATGTTAAATAATGAGTCCTGTCTTTGTCACCTGTAAGCTCATGAACTGGGTCATGTTGTAGAACTTGGTAGAAACTCTATTTTATTTTATTTTTTATATAGAGAGGGAGGGAGCCAAAACATAAGAGACTCTTAAAAACTGAGAACAAACTGAGGGTGGTTGGGGAGTAGGAGGGAGGAGAGGGTGGGTGATGGGTATTGAGGAGGGCACCTGTTGGGATGAGCACTTAGTGTTGTATGGAAACCAATTTGACAATAAATTATATTTATTTAATATGAAATTTATTGTCAAATTGGTTTCCATACAACACCCAGTGCTCAACAGGTGCCCTCCTCAGTGTCCATCAACAAGTTTCCCCTCTCCTCCACCCCCCATCAACCCTCAGTTTGTTCTCAGTATTTAAGAGAATCTAATGGTTTGCCTCCCTCCCTCTCTGTAACTTTTTCCCCCTTTATCTCCGCCATGGTCTTCTGTTAAGTTTCTCAGGATCCACCTATGAGTGCAAACATATGGTATGTTTGCATGCATTCTCTTACTGACTTATTTCACTTAGCATAATACCCTCCAGTTCCATCCACGTTGCTACAAATGGCCAGGATTTCATTCTTTCTCATTGCCAAGAAATATTCCATGGTATATATAAACCACATCTTCTTCATCCATTAGTCATAGAACCTCTATTTTAGCTTCTTCAATGGGGAACCTATTTCATGGAGTGGGTTTGAGACTCAATGACAGGGCAGTTTCAACATAGTGCCTCATCTAGAGTACTGACTCAGTAAACATCACCCATCATTTTAATTTTAGAGCCCTAATTTCCTGTGAATCAATTAGGGCTTTTTTTTTTGTTTTCCACATAGGGCTTTTTTGAAGCTCTGAAAGGATAGCTTCTCTTAAAGTCCTTTGAACTTCAGATAGATGCAGAGTTACATCTAGGCATTTAGGGCCAATCTGACTGCTCACCCTTGGGACTCTTTTCTAAGTTTTCTGTCCACAGTTGAATAAGAGAATTCCTCTTGATAAAGGAGGGCTATTATTTTTTTCTACCTTTCTCCTAAATACCCTAAGATAGTCACACAATATGATCTGAATACATTGCTATAATATGGACACCAAGAGTCTGACAAGATCAATCCTTAGAGTTCCTTGAGCCTTAGTCCTTCAGCTTGGGGCAAGAAATATGGGATAAACCCACTGTACCTCCACCTTAGTGTTCTCAATAAGTGAATGAAGCTTTGTTGATCCCTTTCTATACGTTGTGTTGTTGAAACTTTGCAACAGCACATGTAAGCATTAGTGTTCCAAGATGTGGAATCCAAGGGTCAGAGTAAAAGCGGATTTGCTCAAAGTCACACAGAACAAGTAGAAGGTCCAGAGCTCAAGCTTAGCACTTAGGACTCTAAATCCTATCTACTAACTTCAACCAAATTCTGTCCAGGTAGAGGGTCTATCTACTCAATTCTTCTCTTCCACTGTTTCACAGGGGAGAGACTACTCTAATTTCCAGCCAGGTAGGATGACCATCGAGTGACTTCTCATAGTTCAGACTCACGCTGTGGAGATGGACCCAATTAGACATCAAGGATACCTTCCCCATTCCCATGGGGGCTTGATGTCATCTTCTTTCTCTCCTACCCCCGGATTTGCCCCACGTCTTACTCACTTTTCATCTCTTTCCTTGCCTTCTCAGAGAGTATGGACAGGTTCATCTTTTCAAAGATGTGAATAGATATTTTCCAGGCAAGAGATTCTCTATAATGCTCATGCAACAGGGAAGCTAGATGTTCCACATTGGCACTGTTTACTTCAACCCACGGAAAAGAGCACATTGCCAGTTCTGAAGCATTTTCCATGAGCAATTCCTTAAATGTCTGAAATTCTTCCTTTCCTAGCTGCTTGAAACACCACTGCAGTCCATAGTTGGAAAAGGAGGGTAGTTTGGCTTCCTGCATCTTAGTGCAAGGCTGAGAGCTCAGGTTTTGATGGAAAAGTGGATTCTTTGGTAATATGGAGCAAATGACACCTGTGGAAGAGTAGTAAGATTCAAAAGAGGATCTTGCATCAAATTCTCAAGTTCATACAACCAACCTCAGTTAACTCACTAGAAACAACATTCTCTCTTCCTTTTGTGAAACACACAGAAAAGCCCCATTCATGGGTAACAATTCTTTATAGACTTAAAATTACTTGACTTCATATCTGTTTATCTCATTACAAGAATATAAGCTCTGGGATGTTTTGCTGCCCTTATCCCTAGTTCCCAAAACACCACCCAGTATAGGGTCAGATTCAAAACACTTAAAAGAATACATAAACACTAATTTGAAAGGATATGTGCACCGTATGTTTTATTGCAGCATTACCAACAATAACCAAATTATGGAAGCAACTCAACTGTCCATCAATAGATGAAAGAGTAAAGAAGGTGTGTGTATATGTACACACACACACACACACACACACACACACACACACACACACACACTTGGATATTATTCAGCCACGACAAAGGATGAAATCTTGAGATACGCAACACCATGGATGGAGCTAGAGAGTATTATGCTAAGTGAAATATGTCAGACTGAGAAAAAACAAATAACATGAATTCAGTTGTATGTGGAATTTAAGAAACAAAAAACAAATGGGCAATTGAAAAGGAAAAAAAGAGAAAGAGGCAAACCAAGAAACAGACTCTTAAGGATATTAAGAGAACACACTGATGGCTACAAGAGAGGAGATGGGTGGGGGTGATGGGCAAACAGGTGATGGGTATTAAGGAGGGCACTTATGTGATAAGCACTAGGTGTTGTATGAAATTGTTGAATCACTATATGATACACCGGAAACTAGTATTACACTTATATTAACTATACTGGAATAATTAAAATCAACAATAAAAAAACCCAAAACACTTATCAGTGATGCTCTTGGCTAATGTAGCTATACTCATGAAAACTGGCAAATAAGTTACCACCACTTACTGAAAATTAGTCACACTGTTTATTACTATTATTATGTTTATTTTTGAGAGAGAGAGAGACAGAGAGACAGAGAGAGACAGACAGAGAGAGAGACAGAGACAGCATGAGCAGGGGAGGGGCAGAGAGAGAGGGAGACACAGAATCTGAAGCAGGTTCCAGGCTCTGAGCTGTCAGCACAGAGTCCAATACGGGGCTTGAACCCACCACGATCTCATGGTTTGAAATCATGACGAAATCAGACCCTCAACTGAGCCACCCAGGCTCCCCTATTATTATTTTTTAAAAGTAGGCTCTACATCCAATGTGGGGCTTGAACTCATGGCCCTGAGATCAAGAGTTGCACGCTCTACCAACTGAGCCAGGCAGGTGCCCCAGTCACACAGTTTTTAAAGCAGTTGATTCCTTCTGTGTCTGTTAACATAATATGAAGTTACATAAACATAGTAAAGAGTTGTGGTATAAAAATAAATGGGTAAACATTTGAAAATCTTATTTGACAAGGATATTCTATCTAGAAAATATAACAATAAAAAGATAAACAACCTGATTAAAAATGGGCAAATGATCTGAATAGACATTTCTCCAAAGAAGATCTACAATTGGCAAATAAGCACATGACAAGATGCTCAACCTCCTTGGCCATCAGAACAGATTCTACACCCCTGACCCCCTCCATCAGCTTGTTCTGTACATGGACGTCCATGACCTGTACCATGCATTTCTTCTCAGAATCGTCTAGGCTGGTTGGTGGTGACAAACATTTTGTACTTGTTAGGAATGCTCCAGGAAGAATTCTTAAATCTAGGAAATCTCCTCTTCCATTATTATATGGCCTCTATAAACAGGGACAACCAATACCAGTTGGGCATTTTGGGGCTGTTCTGGTCTTGCCCAGCCATTGGTTTGTGGTGGAAAATAAAGCAATCAAAGGGATACCATGTAATAAAAAACTTTAAGGGCTCAAGTAGACGGCAACTTGATTTTTTCCCCATGAGCCATAGTAGAGTGGAGGTTAGCTGTGCTGGATATTCCTATACTTGCTGTGCTTCTAGGTCTGATTTGTAGATACCCAGTGAGGTCCTCTCGAGCTCCTTCCTGGTACTGGAAGCATGTCACCCAGGTGTAACCAGATTGTAAGGTACATGTCTGGTCAAACTCGGAGTTTTGTTGTTGCTGCCTAGGCAGACGGGGCATCTACTCTCTGTGCCCTTAACTTACACACTGGATTCTGGTAGTTTCTCTCTGCTGCTCCCCTGCCATTCTCTACGTGCAGTTTTAAGGAGGGGGTGGTGACTAAGATTACTTCAATTTACAATGAGAGAGCTGGAGGATAAAGAAACTGAAGATTATAAAATACAGTTAAAACCTTGGATTGTGAGGAACTTGTTCTGTGAGTGTTCCACAAGATGAGCAAGCATTTCTTTTTTTTTTTAATTTTTTTTTAACATTTATTTATTTTTGAGACAGCATGAACAGAGGAGGGTCAGAGAAAGAGGGAGACACAGAATCTGAAACAGGCTCCAGGCTCTGAGCTGTCAGCACAGAGCCTGACACAGGGCTCGAACCCACGGGCCGTGAGATCATGACCTGAGCCGAAGTCAGACACTTAACCGACTGAGCCACCCAGTCGCCCCAGAGCAACCATTTCTAATAAATTTTAACTTAACAAGCAATGTCTTGCAGTATGAGTAGTATGTGATGCTGAAGGTCACATGGTCACAACTGAGCCAATGCTTCTTGAAATTCACCTTGATATACAAGTGCTTTGGATTACAGGCATATTTCTGGAATGAATTAAGCTCACAAACCAAGGTTTTACTGTACATGGAAGGAAACGTGGAAGGAAGGGCTCTGGGCTGGTGAAAGAGGGGGACACAGATGCCACTGTGACAAAATGGTAGTTTTCCTAAGCTAGAGTATTTCAAACACTGCTTTCAGAGATGAAGCGGTCTATATGGGCACAAGTTTTCCCCCTAGCATATAGGACACAGGGGATCACAAATGTCTGGTTTATGAGAATTACATCTTAAAACAGTTCAGAGATGGTAGTCAGACCATTATCATGGACTGACCAGCTGCCTGGAGGAGCAAGTAGAGTGGTTGGGACAGAGTGCTAATGGCCCACAAAACTGAAAACAGTCAGCCCTTTGCAGAAAGTCCACTGACTTATGCTCTTAAAAAAAAAAAAGCTTCAACATTGGGGTGCCTGGGTGACTCAGTTGGTTAAGCGTCTGACTCTTGGTTTTGGCTCCATTCATGATCTCACAGTTTGTGGGCTCTGCGCCAACAATGCAGAGCCTGCTTGGGATTCTCTCTTTCTCCCTCTCTCTCTGCCCCTCCCCAACTTGCTCTTTCTCTTTCAAAAATAAATAAACCTAAAAAAAAATTAAAACTAAAATTTCCTATTTTCCCCCTCCAACATAAAACAACCTGGATACGTGGAGATGGAAAACAAAACACCCCTCTCCCCCTGCCCCAATCTCCCAACTATTCAGTTAAGTGGTGACTAAATGAATATGGGAAGCTCATTTAAAGGAGAATAAATTTCAGATGGCCACACCTGCACATGGGTGTAGACATGATTTGAATTGAATGTTTGCCTTATCGTGCAAAGCACTCAAAGGAACAAGTAGAGGAGAACTGTGGCTGTAAAAAGTCACAAAAGTCTCAGTGGTCTCAGGAAGGTTATTTTTAGGATGGAATGCTTGACAAAGTTTATATGCTCAGAGGGAAGAGTAAGTAAAAGTAGAAGCAGGAAACAAAACAATTAAATGAGTACTTACTCTTTTCTAAATCCCTTCTTAGGCAATTTACAGCAACTCAATACTTTCCATCAGTAATGTGGATACACAAAGAGTGTTACTGTCTTCACTTTACAGAGTGTTTTAGGAAAAAGCATTTTAACGCACATCTTATTATAATGCTCCACCTCTTCCAACACATCTCAGGAGGGAGCTGATAATCAAACCCAACAGAGTAGGAGGAAAGCACAGGTGGAGGGACTGGCCTGGGGAAGGCAGATGGACCCCTTCCCCTGGAAAGCTGAAGAGGGATTGGGGAGAAGGTAAGGACATTATTCCCACAAAGGGCAGGGTTGTAGGTTGGAAAGATGTAGAGTAAGACTGGTGGTTAACATTATTTTCTGGAAATAAATGACTAGCCAAAGCTTCCCCTTTGTCTTTATCCTTTATTCTATCTATGTCTTGCAATGGCTTTCTGCACCGGATCTTGAATGATCCCATAGAAGTGGTCAAGATCACAGGGCTTGAGATCTATCACATGCAGTTTTGAATGTTGATTCAGCCCTTGCTACTCCAGGCAAAGCCATTTATTCCTCTGTGACTCAGTTTCCCCATGTGACAACACCCTCAGGACTGTATAGTGCTTCAATAACTGTAACCCTTCCCTGTGTGGTTAACATATAATTAGCACCTTAATTATAATTAACATATAATTAACACAGTGACAACCCTGAGCTCCCACAAGACCTGGTCCAGACATCAGCTGATCTTGAACTTAGAGTCACAGCACCCCCCCACTCTGTCCTCTATTTTAGACCTAGAGACTGGGAAGGATTAAAGGAACGTACTGAAGGAACCCAAACAAACGTGAAAAATATTATTTTATCAAATGGGGAAATGGGACCCCTCATTCTTTCAAGGCATATCTTTGGTTCTTGGGCTCTGGCTAGTCTAAATGGAGAGCGTGGGCACACAGAGCCAAGCTCAAGGAATAAGTCCTAACCAGTGCTAGAGAAAGAAAGGAGATAAAAGCTAGGAACAAGAGAAAATACTCACCAACTCGCCTCCAAAATCAGAGCCCGCTCCCCGGCCAATGGGCAACCACACGGTGAGGGTCTTTGGGGAATCCTGGGTCAGTGACGTTGTTGCTTTCCATTGGTTGTCCTGGGCTCTGAATGGCCAGCTCCAGGGTAGATGTGGAGCAGCTGTCTTCTGCACCTGTCCTTGCACTATTGAAGATGCTGCCTCATCCTTAGCACACCTGTGCTCAGCCCTCACCTGGTTGTCCCAGGGCAATGTTCTTATTTTACACAACCTGCATTTACTGACCAGTGTCTAATGCCACTGCTGTTGTCTGTTCAGTTGGCTTTCTCCATAAACTCTTTTTTAAATGTTTATTTATTTATTTTGAGAGAGAGAGAGAGACTAAGGGAGGGATGGGGAGAGAGAGAGAGAGAATCCCAGACTCCATGATGTCAGTGTAGAGCCCAACGTGGGGCTTGAATTCACAAACTACGAGATCATGACCTGAGCCGGAGTCAGACACTCAACTAACTGAGCCACCTAGGCGCCCCTCTCCATAAAACTCTTACCTGGATTCCCTGTGAACTCATCGTAAGCATTCCTGTTTGTTATCAAAAGAACAGCCTCCGAAACTCTCCCCTTCTGAAGTGTCCGTCTTGGGCAATAGAAGTACTAGCCATTTTGTGCCTTGAGTCTCCACATTAATGGTTGTCTCCTGGAATTTTCCCATCCTTCCCGCTGCCCTCCTCGCTTTACTGAAATATAACTGACAACACTATGTAAGTTCAAGCTACACAATGTATTGCTTTGACACACTGATTCACTGAAAAGTGATTGCCAGCAATGCTAACAGATACCTCCTATTCCAGTAGTTCCCAAACTTCACCCCAGGTTAGAATCATCTGGGAGAATTCTAAAACCCCTGATGCCCAAGCCACACCCTACTCCAATTAAGTCTGGATGTCTGGGGCTGGCAGCCAGGCAACAGTGCTTTTATTAAAGATTCCCAGGTAAGACCCTGTGCCACAAAGACTGGGGACATTGTCACACTTTCAAGCCCGGCTATTTTCAAGGCACATTCTCCTACAGCTTTAGCAAAGGGGTGTCTCCTGGGCCCTTGTGGGGAACCTGTCAGTGGGTGGATTCTCTGGCTTTCTGTTGCCCCCAGGCAAGGCAGTTCAGGGCAGCCCCACCTCATTCACTGTGGATCCTAGTGGTGGTACATTATGATCAGCTCCAGCTGTTAAATTCTGGGCTCTGGAGAACAAATCAAAGCAAATGAAATTTGCAAATGACATATTGGATAAAGGGTTAGTATCCAAAATCTATAAAGAACTTACCAAACTCAACACCCCAAAAGCAAATAATCCAGTGAAGAAATGGGCAAAATACATGAACAGACATTTTTCCAAAGAAGACGTCCAGATGGTTAACAGACATGTGCAAAGATGCTCAACATCACTCATCATCAGGGAAATACAAATCAAAACCACAATGAGATGTTACCTCATACCTGTCAGAATGGCTAACATTAACAACTCAGGAAACAACAGATGTTGGCAATGATATGGAGAAAGGAGAACCCTTTTTTACTGCTGGTGGGAATACAAACTGGGGCAGCCACTCTGGAAAACAGTATGGAGGTTCCTCAAAAAATTACAAATAGAACTACTCTATGACCCAGCAATTGCACTACTAAGTATTTATCCAAAGGTTACAAAAACACTAATTCAAAGGGGCACATGGACCCCAGTGTCTATAGCAGTGCTATCAACAACAGCCAAACTATGGAAAGAGCCCAAATGTCCATCGATGATGAATGAATAAAGAAGATGTGGTACATATATACAATGGAATATTACTCGTCGATGAAAAAGAATGAAATCTTGCCATTTGCAACAAGGTGGTTGGAACTGGAAGGTATTATGCTAAGCAAAATTAGAGAAAGACAAGTATCATATGATTTCACTCATCTATGGAATTTAAGAAACACAACAGATCAACATAAGGGAAAGAAAAATAAGATAAAAACAGAGAGGGAGGCAAACCATAAGAGACTCTTAAATACAGAGAACAACCTGAGGGTTGCTGTAGGGGAGGTGGATGGGGGTGATGGGCTAAATGGGTGATGGGCACTAAGGAGGGTACTTGTTGGGGTGAACACTGGGTGTTATAAGTATGTGATGAATCAGTGTGTTCTACTCCTGAAGCCAATATTATACTATATGTTAACCAACTTGAATTTAAATAAATAAATTTTAAAAACCAAAAAAAAAAGCAAATTTTAAATGGAAGATTGGATTACCTTTATTTTTCTCTATGCTTTAAGGATGGGGTGGAGGTGGGGTTGAGGATTCCAACTGCTCTGACTTTTGTAATGAAACCCTTCTGGAGACCAGAGAACCAATGCAGATAATACCTGAACATTACTTTGTATAGAAAAACATGAGTTTTTCTTTTTTTTTTTTTTAATTTTTTAAAGTTTATTTATTTTTTTGAGACAGAGAGAGACAGAGCATGAACGGGGGAGGGTCAGAGAGTGAGGGAGACACAGAATCCGAAACGGGCTCCAGGCTCCGAGCTGTCAGCACAGAGCCTGACGCGGGGCTCGAACTCACCGTGAGATCATGACCCGAGCCAAAGTCGGACGCTCAACCGACTGAGCCACCCAGGCGCCACAAAACATGAGTTTTTCAAAAGAAAAATATCGTATGGCTGCCTCTATATCTTTGAGTTCCAAATGCTGTCCTAACTCCTTCATTCATGTACGACATGATTTAGACCTGGAAAGTTCAGACTGCCCTGTGATGTATAGTCCCTTCCTGTGAGGTTGGAGGGGAGGTCATCTGCATATTACTAGAGTTTCTCAAAGTTCTGTGGACCACGAGGAGACAGAGCATGTAGGGAACCACTCTCTAGAGCAAGGATCTAGTTCAGCCTGCTATGTGTCCAAGAAACATTTGCCTTAATTTGTTTTATTGTATTAATACACTAAAATCATTTTTAGAAGTTCAGTTTTTAAAAAGTTTATTAATTTTTGAGAGAACGAGAGAGAGAGAAAGAATCCCAAGCAGGCTCCACACCCAGCACGGGGCTTGAACTCACAACTGTGAGATCATGACCTGAGCTGAAACCAAGAGTTGGATGCTCAGCCAACTTAGCCACCCCAGTGCCCCTGAGGTTTCTTCCATTGATCTACTAGTCTACTGGTAAATAAATAACACTTGAAAAGCTTTCACATTGCATTTATGTATACATTTTTAATTAAATTCTTCTGATATCCTCATAGGCAATTCAGATACTTCCCAGAGACAATATTAACATGACAAATTCAAGGACTTCCAGAAGCCAGGGGTGGAAGAGGGCTGGTTTCCCCAACTCAGTGACTAATCCATGTCTAACACATGAACGTCAGCATCTCCAAGGGAGCTGTTTAGAGGTCATGCCCCACACCATTTTCCAGAAACAATTGGGCCATTCCAGACTCAGAATGGCCCACAGAATAGGCCAAAATTCCCCAGGTTTTCTCTAGGAAAAAAATACCCAGGGTGGGGTCACCAGATCACTCCATCCATCTTGCCTCCTCCCAGTACTCAATGCTCCAGTCCTGTATGATCCTCAGGACTTCATTCTTCACAGCTGGGCCCTCCAGCCTTGTCATTGTCTCTGCTGCGTAGTTCTGCTTCATTTCCCTGTGAAGGACAAGAATCAGGCTTTGTTGTCTCACATTTGGTGTGTGTGTGTGTGTGTTCCTAGAAACGTACACAGAACCTTGAAGACAGAAGTGCACCACCCTGGAGACCACTGTGGAGACCATGCTGCAAACCAAGACCAGACTACTGCTCTGGGGAGTCAGGGATGGTGGCTGAGGTCCTCCGTCCAACCACTTACTAAGTGTGGTCAGCAGCCTCAGATGGCCCAGTGATTCTGCCCTGTTATTTTCACTCTGGTGGAGTCTCCTCCCTTCTTGGGCTATGGTTGGTCTGTGTCACCAGCAGAATAGGGCAGGAATGATGGATGCCACTTTCAACTGAAGAGATCAAAGACTGAGGTCTTTTTTTGGGTGTCCTCTCTCTGTCTCTCACTTGTTCTGGAGGAAGCCAGCTGCATCGTCGTGAGCAGCCGTACAGAGAGTAATCGAGGCCTCCTGCCAACAGCCACATGGGTGAGCATAGAAATCACTCTTCTAGGTCTCCATCATACCCTGTCAGTGAAGACCATGAGCTAGAACTACCCAGCCAAACCACTCCCATTGTTCTGACCCTTGGAAATGTTACAAGAAAATTAATGTGTGTTGCCTTAAGGGATTAAGCTTTGCAGTAATTTGTTATGGAGCAATGGATAATGAAAACTCCAGATACCCTTACAACCTCCACCCAGAATCCACCGCTGACTGAGAACGCTGTGGCGTCACATCTCCATGGAGGAAGCCGCCATCCCAGTTCACAGATGGGGAAACTGAGACTCAGAGAGGTAAAGGAACTTGTTCAGAGTCATATGGCTGGTAAGTGGTGACTCACTCAGTTAACACAAGGAGGGAAGGTGAAGGACAGAAGGAAGTTAAAATCCGACAGGAGAGTGCAGCCCAATGTTCCCAACAGGCACCAGGAAAATATAAATCCCCAGGAAATGAGAGGAAAATCAGCAACAGCTGCAATAGCTTTTTAGGTCCAGAGTTTCCCTCTTGTCCAGGAGCTTTGCTTGGGCTGTTGTTTTTCTGCACAGGGAACCCAACAGAGACTTACAAAACAGCCCTCGCTTTCCACTTGTGCTGCTGAAAAGCCTCCTGCAGGAGCAGTATGCCCCTGCACCCGATGTCATTCTTGCTCACGTCCAGGTATCTCAGGCTCTGGTTGTGGAGGAGCATGGAGGCCATAGCCTGGCAACAGACACAGGTGAATAGGCACCTTTCCAACCTGTGGGGTGGAAGCAGACAGTAGACAAGTGGCCACGCCCCACATCGGAGAGCTCAGCCAATCCGAACCCTGGAAATCATAGCCAGGTGGCTACACCCCACATCAGAGAGCTCAGCCAATCCGAATCCTGGAAATCACACCCCCTGGAATGAGGCATTTCCTTCCAAACGTGTTAAGTACGTGCTACAGATGCGTCAGTTTTTTCTTGTAGTTTAGGATGGCTGTCCAGGGTAGGCTATAAAAGTCCTAACTCCAAGAAGTGAGGAGCCACACAATCTCTTTTAGAAATTGATTGTCACTGTGCATTAGCTTTGTTCATTCAAAAAATATTTATTTAGCACCACCTGTGTACCAAGGCACACAACCATGAAGAAAACCGCATCCCTGGCTTCCTGGAACTCATAGTTGATTGGGGGTGGTGGGGGGCAGGCAGGTCACCAGATAAATATATGCAAAGAGCATGGTTTCAGTATTCTAGAAAGATACCTTTGCTCTCACAGGCAGTGTTCATGGCAAAAGGGAGAGACAGGTCCAGAAAGGAGCTGAGTCACAGAAGTGCTGTGTATCATAAATTCAGAACAGACATATAAGAGGAAGTGGTGCGTGGGTGAGAGAAAGGTACAGGAAGGGGGTGGTTTTGGCTCCCATCTTTGAACAAGGAGTACAATCTCCCCAGGAGCAAGGCTATTATAAGCAGTGCAGAGCAGACATAACAGAGGAGGCCTTGGGATCCCTGTGTCTCCTACTCGTGCACTGTTTGCTTTCATTCTGAGTGCTTGCCTCCCCTGCCCTGTGCATCTCTGCTAGCCCATAAATGACAAGCTGGGAGCTGCTGCCCAAGCCAAAACTACAAGGGCATCACTCAGCTTTGCCTTAGTTTATAAAGGCCCTGACTTTCTTTCTGTCAGGTAGGTCCCTGGTCCTCCCTGTGCACACCAGCCAAAAAGTTCCCTAACCTCATTTAGAGTCACTTAAATCATTTCCTTTTGACAGAAGGAGGCCAGTCATTCTAAATTAATTATTTTTTAAAAGCTTTTATTTTTTATTAAATAAAAAAATGTTTATTTCTTTTTGAGAGAGTGTGTGCGAGCAGGGGAGGGGCAGAGAGAGAGGGAGACACAGAGTCTGAAGCAGACTCTAGGCTCTGAGCTGTCAGCACAGAGCCAGACGTGGGGCTTGAACTCACAAACTATGAGATCATGGCCTGAGCTGAAGTCGGATGCTAAACTGACTGAGCCACCCAGATGCCCCCAGATTGTATTTTTAACTAATCTCCACACCCAACGCTGGGCTCTAACATACCAATCCTGAGATCAAGAGCTGCAAAGCATCCCTAAAATAATTCTAATTATAAATAAGACGCACAGGTATGTGAGGACTGTTTTTAAAATGAAAAGAATAAGCAATAGAAGTCTGGGTTCTTCTTGGGAAAAATAAAGATGCCGATGGCTTTTCTACAAGACTAGAGTTCTATAAAATGAAATCTAGGGGATTTTTAGATCAAGAAGTTTGGGATACAGAGGGGTCTATGAATTTCATACTCAGCCAAGTTACTGCCCATCAGTGAAAAGTAGTAGATTTTGAAAAGTAGTCTCACACAAGCAAAGGCTTAGAGAACACTACATAAATGCTCATCTGGAAATTTATTTCATTCTTTTTGTTTGTTCGTTTGTTTTTCAAGTTTGTTTGTTTATTTATTTATTGTTTTTAATATTAAATTTATTGTCAAATTGGTTTCTATACAACACCCAGTGCTCATCCCAACAGCTGCCCTCCTCAATGCCCATCAGCCACTATTTCATCCTTGAAAATGTATTTCACTCGATTTAAGAGATAAATCAGTATTTAAAACCCAAAGATTAAATTTCTGGAGAAAAAGAATCATGAGCTGGTGGGGCACCTGGCTGGCTCAGTTGGTGGAGCATGCAACTCTTGATCTTGGGGTTGTGAGTTTGAGCCCCACATTGGATGTAGAGATTACTTAAAATAAAAAATCTTTAAAAAATGAAAAATAATCATGAGCTACAATGAACAATGAATTTTTTTTTTTTACTGGCTAATTATCAACAAAAGTGAAATCCATTATCAGGATATCCTAAGAAATTAGAGATGTAGGGGAAGAAATTAGAGGTGTAGGGGAAGCTAGAGATGTAGGGGATGTAGGGGAAGCAGTTGATTAAGCGTCTGACTCTTGATTTTGGCCCAGGTCATGATCTCATGGTTTGTGAGATAGAGACCCAAGTCAGGCTCCATGCTGAACATGGATCCTGCTTAAGATTCTCTCTCTCCCTGCCAAAGCATAAGAGACTGTTGAGAACTGAGAACAAACTAAGGGTTGATGGGGGGTGGGAGGGAGGAGAGGGTGGGTGATGGGTATTGAGGAGGGCACCTTTTGGGATGAGCACTGGGTGTTGTATGGAAACCAATTTGACAATAAATTTCATATATAAATTAAAAAAAAAAGCTAAGAAAAAAAAAGATTCTCTCTCTCCCTCTCTCTACTCCTCCCCCTCTCTCTCTAAAATAAAAAGAAAGAAAGAAATTAGAGATGTAACGTAAAACAATGATTTTAATGATCTAGACTTAAAACCTAAATTATACTAATAGAGAACAGATTATGTGGGCAGAAAAGAGGCAAAGCACTTTCACCCATATCCACTGATCACCAGAGAAGAGACGTTTCCAAATCTTTTCCAAATACTTAATCTAACCACGATACTCATTAAAAATAGGATGAATCTTGCCAAATCTTTGGCTAGTGTGCATGTTAGCATAGAGACCATTTAGGAGAAGAAGAAAAAATATATATGTAAAGAAAAGAATTTATAAGTACAAAAGTTGATTTCAGAAGGCCAGCTATCTCAGGCATTAGTCCACAGCCAACAAATACACTTTCTTTTACTGGATGGAAGACTGTTTCCTAGAACATTGGTACTCCAAGTGTACCATGCCAGGGAACCACTTGGGCATGCTGGTCAAAGAGAGCCCGCCTCCAGAGCACCACGCGACCCAGCACCCCTACTTCTGTGTACTCAACCAAAGGAGCTGGAACCAGGATCTCCAAGAGATACCTGCACCTCATTCCCTGCAGCATTACTCATGATAGCTACCCTCCGGAAACAGCCTGCATGCCCACCAGCAGATGAATGGATAAAGAAAACATGGTGTTTACACACAATGGTATATTACTCAGCTGCAAGAAAGAAGGAAATCCCACCATTTGTGATGTCAGAGATGCACCTTGCCATAGTTGTGCTGAACAAAACAGACCAAGAAAGACCCAACACTGCAATAATTTCTAACGACTCCCCAGATGAACAAGTTCCCAGTCTGAGGAACCACCTTCAGAACCACTGCACACAAACTTCCTGGAAGACCTGGATCCTGCATTCCACTAAGAATTTTACAGACCATTGTCCTCGTTGCAAAGGAGGGGATGGGGGTAACTTACTCCAGAATCTGGAGGACAGACTCAGGATTCTCGAGGGCCTCAAAGAGCAGGATAACACCATCATCCTTCAGACTGTTAAAACCCAGGTCCAGGCTTCTCAAATTTTTATTTTTATCCAGAGCAGAGGCCATTTCCTGACAGCACTCGGAGGTCAGGTTACAGTTTCTCAGCCTGCGAAGGAACACATGTCAAGAAAACCAATCAAACACCCTTAGATTTTATTCCTTTCTTGCCCCCCACCCCACTTTTTTTTGGATATAACATCAAGATATTATTATCATGCTGTATCATTCACCAATTTAGATTGTACAAATCAACGTCATTTAGTATATTTACAAAGGTGCACGTTTGCCACAATTTTAGGATATTTTCAGTACCCCAAAAAGGAACACCCTGTACCCTTTTAATTCCCAGATTCTTCCCCCAGCCACTCCCCAGTCTAGCAACTGCTGTCTGGATATTAATCTGAAGGAAGTGAAATCAGGATCTCAAAAAAAAAATATGGCATCTTTCATTTACCATAATATTTTCACGATTCATCCATATTGTAGCATGTGTCAATACGTCATTCCTTTTTATGGTTGAATAATATTCCATCATATGGATGCACCGACCCTTCTTCATTCACACATCAGCTTATAAACACTAGGGTTGTTTCCACTTTTTGGCTATTGTAAATAATGCCCCTATGAGCATCGGTGTACAATTTTTGGTGCGGTTGTACGTTTTTTATTTCTGTCGTGTGTGTACCTGTGTGTGGAATTGCTGACTCATGTGTTAGGTCTACATTTAACTTTTTGAGGAGCAGCTAGACCATTTTCCAAAGCAGCTGTACCATTTTCTGCTTCTTTTTGGGGAAGCTGAAAGTGTAATGGGTTCAGGGGGTATTTTGTGCCACTCTCTCATTTCTGGTTTTATGAGCTAGAAAATTTATGGTTGAAGACCATCTGAGTTTATTTTCTATTAATAATAGACAAAAGCACTGTGCATTGGTGCTCTGAGACTAATTTCAACATATGTGGGGTGGTCTCCCACACTAATAAACAATTCTTAGATGTCAATAGGGTCCAAGAATTCAACTCACTTCTGATACCGTCTACAGATCATCAGATTGTACAGGTTAAGGGCTCAGTCCTACAAGACTGCTTCCCCTACATCATCCCCTCCCTAGATACCAGCCATGAGTCCAGACTATTACCTGTGCTTCTGAACAGTGGGTTATAAACTGAAGGTTCCAGTGCCTTCTTCCAACCTTGGAGGCCAATCACCTGTTACCCGTGCTTCTGATCGACTGACTATAGATCAGAAGTTCCTATGACCCCCTCCTTGGATTTGGTTAATTTGCCAGAGCAGCTCACAGAACTCAGGAAACCCATTTACTCATTACATTACCATTTTATTATAAAAAGTTAGAACTCAAGAACAGCAGACGGGAGAGATGTGTAGGGCCAGGCATGGAGAAAGGATGTGGGGGTTCCATGTCCTCTCCAGGTGTGCCTTTCTTCCCACATCTGAACGTGTTCATCCACCCAGAAGCTCTCAAATCCCATCCTTTGGGGTTTTTATGAGACTTCATTATGTAGGCATGACTAATTAAATCATTGGCTATGGGTGGCTGGTTCCACCTGCCTCTCCTCTCCTCTCTTCTCCCCAGAAGTCAGGGCATAGGACTTAAAGTTCTAACCCACTCATCACAAGGCTGGTCCTTGGGGCAGCAAGCCTCCATCCTTAGGAACTGTCCACAAGCCACCTCATTAACATAATAAAAGATGACTTTATGGCTCTCACCACTTAGGTATTTCCAAGGGCTTGGGGACCTCTGTGCCAGAAACAGGGACAAAGATCAAATACATATTTTTTATGTTATAAGTCAGAGTATCATACATCCTGACACCTAAGGGAAATCATTTAAAGAATTCATGATAGGGGCACCTGGGTGGCTGAGTCAGTTAAGCATCCAACCTCAGCTCAGGTCATGTTCTCACGGTTCGTGAGTTCAAGCCCCATGTCAGGCTCTATGCTGACAGCTCAGAGCCAGGAGCCTGCTTCTGATTCTGTGTCTCCCTCTCTTTCTGCCCCTCCCCTGCTCATGCCTCTGTCTCTCTATGTCTCTCAAAAATAAATAAACGTAAAAAATTTTTAAAAAGAATTTATGATAGAGATCAGTGCATGTACACACACACACACACACACGCATGCACACATGCACGGCTTCCTCAATCACTCTGTTATACTCCAGGCAGTCTCAAAGAAGACATTCTGGGACTCACACCAGCCTCTGTAGAGGGCACAAAGAGTGCTGTAAGGCACTGCAAAGCTGTTTTGCTCCTTCGTCCTTCAAGGCATTTTCTGCCAAGCTCAGATGGGTCAGGTTCTCGTTTCTCTTGAGGGAAGAAATAAGACTTGTACAAGAAAGCAGCGTGAGGTCACAATTCTCCAACCTGTGGGGCAGAAAGACACAGATGGGATGCAATTTCATTCATGTGCATGTCCCAAACTGAGAGAGGAACATGGCCATCTGGGGTGTCCTTTTCAGTGTGAAAGTGTCATCACACCTCTGTAACCACCCCTTAGGGCTTCCGAGTCCTAAAGGAGAGGTTATCAGCCTTCCTGTGAGGCTAGGGGAGTAGAGGAGATGTGGGTCAGGAAAACAGCAATAGGGATTTACAAGGATGGGAAGGAGACCACCAATGACTAAACAATACATAATGGGCACCAGGGTGGCCCGGGAGAGACAGCCCTTCACAAGCTTCAAAAATGTATGCTTAAAAGAGATGCATTTTATTTTATTTTATTTTATTTTCAATATATGAAATTTATTGTCAAATTAGTTTCCATACAACACCCAG